AAGCAGTGCCGGTTTTGGTCCATCTTGGTCTCTTTGAACCCACTCTCAGCTGACTCAGTTCAATAGTAGTTTGGTGGGAAAAATGCCAACTGTCCTGGGAAACAAAGGAGAAATTTGGGAGTAACTTTAGGCTTCACAAAAGGGTCAAGGGTCCCTTATGTCACTTGAAATGATTAACTTTACTGAAAAGTAACAAAATTATTTTTGAAAAATAAAAACAAAGAAATTAAATTTGCTCATAACCCCACTGCTTTAAAAAAAAAAAAAAAAAAAAGGTATAGACCAGGCGTGGTGGCTCACGTCTGTAATCCTAGCAATTTGGGAAGCTGAGGTGGGCAGATCACTTGAGGTCAGGGGTTTGAAATTAGCCTGGCCACCAAGGTGAAACCCTGTCTCTACTAAAAATACAAAAATTAACCTGGTGTGGTGGCATGTGCCTGTAATTCCAGCTACCAGGTAGGCTGAGGCAGGAGAATCACTTCAACCAGGGAGGCGGAGGCTGAGTGAGCCGAGACTGTGCCATTGCACTCCAGCCTGAGCAATAAAGCAAGACTCCATCTCAAAAAAAAAAAAAAAAAAAATTAAGCAGGCATAGTGGCGAGTGCCTATAATCTCAGCTACTGGGGAGGCTGAGGCGCAAGAATCACTTGAACCTGGGAGGCAGAGGTTGCAGTGAGCCAAGATCATGCCACTGCACTCCAGCCTGGATGAAACTGTCTAAATAAATAAATAAATAAATAAATAAATGTATGTTATATCAAGTCCAAAGTTTCTCCCTCCACCTGACTGATTCTCTTCTTCAAAGTAAACTACTGTTAACAACTTGGTGCACATTCTTCTCAATTTGTTACTGGGTTGATGCAGATATATCTAAGTATATATAAGTACATATATATCCAAAATGCCAGATAGATTGACCTATACCTTGCTTATTTTCCTTCACGTTCACAAACATTTCCCAAGTCTGTAACTACAGATCTAACACATTATTTCTTCTGGGTGTATGTAATTCCATTGCATGGATATGTTACATACCATTCTCCTGTTTAATTTGTTTTTGTTACGGATATTGAGATTGCTTATAGTATTTTTGTTATTGAGAATGATGCAGCCACACACATTCTTATTTATATGCTTTTGTGTGTTTGTCTTATTATTTCTCGTAGGATGGATCCTGAAGAGTGGAACTGCTTTTCCTCTTAGGGCAGGCACACCAACAGTGTATGTGAGGCCCCTGCCCCCACTCCCCAGGCTGGCCAGTACTTTGGGCTAATCTGCTAGACCCAAAAACATAAATCTCATTGAGATTTAATTTGCATTCTCCTGACTACCGGTGAAGTTGAGCATCTTTTCATATGTTTATTGACAATTTGCATTTCTTATTCAGTAAATTACCTACTCATATCCTAGAGTCATATTTCTGTCTGCCTGTTTTTTCTATTCAATTAGTGGGAGCTCTTTGTATAGCTGGGATATAATCTTTGACTCAATATATGGCAAGTATTTTCTATTACTGTTGTCATCTTTTTATTGTAGTAAAATTCTTACATGCAGCACCCCCACCCCTCCCTCGCTTTTTTTTTTTTTTTTTGTGCATTTGGATTAGGCAGAGAGCTAGCTTTACTGTTTTCCAGATGAAGTAAATCAATCCCAAGGATTTTAAAATTATTTAATCAGTAAAAATGTACACATTTTGAGGGAGAAGGCGTGAAGATCCCAGGAAAAACTGTGCTGTTGTCCCTGCAGATAGACCCAGTAGATCTTTTTCCTTTTTTTTCTTTCTTTTGAGACAAGGTCTCATTCTGTCATCTAGGCTGGAATGCAGTGGCGTGATGATGGCACACTGCAGCCTTGATCTCCCTGGGCTCAGGAGATCTTTCTGCCTCAGCCTCCCAAGTAGCTGGGACCACAGGCATGCACCCACCACGCCCAGCTAATTTTTATATTTTTGGTAGAGACGGGGTTTCACTGTGTTGCCTAGGCTAGTCTCAAACTCCTGGGCTCAAGCCACCTGTCCTCCTCAGACTCTTGAAGTACCGGGATTACAGGCATGAGCCACCACGCCTGGCCAACCCAGCAGATCTTTAATTTACAATCTGGAAAAACCGTTTAGAGGCTGTTGCTCTCCTAGCCGGTCATGGTTTGGGCCCTTCTCAACGTGTGTATGTGTGTGTTGCTTCTTTGTGTGTGTGTCTTAGTAAAGAGGAGATATGTAAACTAAAATATTCTCCTCCCTCAAAAATCGCCTGACTTAATTATAAACCAAACCCTGTAAATAACTCTATCCTAGCAGTTGGTCATTAGATTGAGGCATCTGTTTCAGATGTGGGTCTCCCTCCCTGGTCCACAGTGAGCTCCCTGCCGCTGTGCCTTAACTTACCTCTGTTCCAAACCTCCCCAGGGGCTCAGACACAGCAGTAGATGGGTACTTGTCTCAGTCCATTTTGTGTTGCTGTAACATAATAGCACAGACTGGGTAACTTATAAAGAAAGGAAATGTATTTCTCATGTTTCTGGAGGCTGAGAAGTCCAAAATCAAGGTGCCAGCAATTGCTGAGGGCCTTCATGGCAGGAAAAAGGAAGAGAGAGCAAGAGATCAAACTCCCAGCCTCAAGCCCTTTTATAATTAGCATTAATCCATTCACAAGAGTGGAACCCTCATGACCTAAACACCTCCCATTAGGTCCTGAGACAGGAATAATACAAGGTGGCTGCAGAATAATAGAAAATTTCAGGCAGCAATTTCACATAACTAGCAAAGGGAAACTGTGGAAATAGCTGCAGAGGCCATGGCCTGATAAGACCCTGAAGAACAGAGCGTGGACCAAGCTGGCTAAGACCCACTGAACCCAGCATGGCACTGGATTTGACCTAGGTTTCTCCTAGGACCTCATTATACACTCATTAACATACTAACTCACACACCCCACTAACATCGTGAGAGTTCCGAGAACACCCATATTTGCTGTAAAAATAGGTAGTGTCACAGTTCTGAGAAATCTCCACCTTTTTCTAGGAATGATCATGAATATTCCACCTCTTAGTTAAAGAAACTCATAAAGGTAGCAGCCCCAAACCCCCTTTCATGTGAGTCTCTCGAGTACACCCGCATTCCCTTTTCTTGAGTGCGTACTTTTCCCTTTGCAATAAATCGTACTTTCACTATTTTCCAACTGGTCTTTGAATTCATTCTCTTGACAATGTCAAGAGCCTGGACACGGGCTGAGGTCTAGATCCCACTGGCATTTGGGGACCTCCCTTCCAACACTGTTGCACTGGGGTTTAAATTTCCAACATGTGTTTTTGTCGGGGGGACACATTGAAACCACGGCAGTACTGAACAAAACCTTGGCTTTGAAGCCATATGAAGACTTGTTTTGTGTGTATTCACATAGTTGAAGTATTTCAACATTTTTAAGAGAGATTTTCAGGCTTCTCTATAAGCAGACTAAGAATCAGCATTAGCATGTTTTCTCCACGTACAAAGTCTTTTATCTTTCTACTTACAAATGAAGGTAACCGATAAATATTTGTTGCATTTTATCATTCTGTTAACCTTCAGATTCAGACTTGTCAGTAATTACTGGCTTGCATTAAAAGCAGGAGATTAGAGATTGAGGTCCAGGGAGTATAAATGATTTGCTCAAAGGCATGTAGAGTAACCAGGTCTCCTGTCCCTCTGTCCCTCTCTTCTGCTACACCTTGTCCCTCAACAAAGGGTGAATGACCTACTGATGGTCATTCATCTGATGAGAAAGGACAAAGGTAGGGCTTTGACTCCGAGCAACTGAACCCATCCTGGCCTATTTTCACAGTCCTGCCAGGAAGATCTGGCTGCCTTAAAATAACTCATTCAGTGATCTTGGTCTTGAACAATACCATGAGTACTTACTATATACAGGTACGCTGCTATGCCCTGAGGATCCCCTCTGGAGCAAAACTGACCCAGGTCATCACAGGTTAGCGAGGGAGAGTGAGCCTGTCTTCTACAGTGTCACCGAAGTGAGCACTGAACAAATACTCCCAGGCATAGATCATTACAAATGGAGGTGAGTGCTGGGCAAGAAAGGACAGGATGCTAGGCGAGAATTCAGCAGGAGGGCTTGATGTCGATTAGGGGGCTAGGGAAAAGCAGAAGTGGGGCTGTAAAAGGCTTTTGCAAAGGTGAAGCCTTTTACATTTGTGAGGGAAATAACAATAATAAAGGTACTTGGAAGGGCAGCTCATCCGCATTCATGGGCCTCTTCCTAGAACTCTGGGAATCTTTCTCCCTGTAGCTGTGTAGGCATCCAGGGTCAGGGCTGGAGAGGCCTTCACAAATGCTAATCTGTGAGCATTTTATGGGTTGCCCCCTGACCCTCAGCATCCTCCTCCTTAACTAGATCCGATGGTGAGTTGAAGAGGTGGGGGCGATGGAGAATGGCATTTCCAGTTTAGAGAAAAAAGTGGGGGGGAGAGGGGGAAGCCTTTCCACCCCAATCCCAGGGCCAGGTTTCCCTCCCTCCACACAAGCCTAAGGAATGTTTTTCAAGGCAAAATCCCACCTCACTGTGTATTTGGTTGTGAAGGGGGCTGTCCAGGAGACCAGGATTGTTCTTGGAGAGTTTAGCGGGCAGGGGCAATAATGTCTGATCCCCCGCAGACAAATGCACCTGTAAGAAAGCTGACCAGCATGAAGTAAAGCCAGGATTTGATGGTGGAGGGGCCAATGCTGCTGCTGGACAGAGAGGTGTTATTGTCCCCGGAAGAATATCATGTCGTAGTCATCATCATAATAATAACTGACACAACTATTATGGGCTGGAGACTTATGAACGCTTTCATAACTCTCAGGTAAGAGGCACTACGAACTCCATTTCACAATTGAGGAAACTGAGGCACAAAGAAACGAAGTAGTGACAGCAGCTTTCCTTTTTCCCTTCAACAATTCGGAATCAAGCTTTTTGAGCCGAGGCTGGATCTCAGGAGGTGTGGATAGCAGTTCCATCTCTGGAAATCAGATTCGCCTGCCCATAATTGGGGAGAATGGTGGCTTTGAAAAGGTTAACTTGGGAGCCCTGGGGACGGCTGCAGGGAACGTACGCCCATTCCCCCTCGGAAGCAGAGCCAGGCCGCCTCCCCTCCGCAGTGGTGAGGACTCGTGGACAGTCCCACGGGGATGGCGGGAGACTTGCGGAGTGGCCGCCCTCCAGGTCCGCGCCGAGGCCGGGCAGCTCCGCTTTCTGCTCAGTCTCCGCGAGGTGTCGCCTTCGGCCGAAGAAACCACCGCGGCGCCACCCTCGTAGCTCGCACTTATTTATTTATTTTCAAACAAGGGGGGCGCCCCTCTCCTTTCAATTCGAAACTAGAAACATCCAGAGGTCTTGTTCCTAAGGGGGCGCGTCCTCTCCCTGCTATTTTGCACCTTCGGACTAGCCTTCTTTCGGAATTACACAGGAGCAACCTCTCTGCAAGGCCTTGCTCAACGTTGGCCTCGCGCTCAGCTGCACAACAAGCCGTCAAAGCGGGGGCTGGGTTAGAAGCATCGGTCTCCCCTCTCCAACACACACCCCCGGAGCCCTCCGTAATTTTTTTTTTCTTTTAATGACAAGCAATTGCCAGGCCCGCAGGGTGGGTGCTGCATTGCACCGCTCGGCGCGCAGCTGGTTCTCAGAGTGCAGCCGGTGCAAGCCCGGGGGTCCAAAAGGGCGGGAGGAGCACACCCCGGGCTTCCCAGCTTTGCAGCCTTCTCTCTGCAAAGAAAAGCAAGTGGCTTTTGGCGCGAAAGCCTTGGCGCCTCCCCTGATTTTTATGGAAATCAGGAGGGCGGGGTAAAGCCGCTTTCCTCTCCTTTCTCCCTCCCCCTTGTCTGCGCCACAGCCCCCTTCTCTCCCCGCCCCCCGGGTGTGTCAGATTTTTCAGTTAATAATATCCCCCGAGCTTCAAAGCGCAGGCAGTGACAGTCATCTGTCTGGACGCGCTGGGTGGATGCGGGGGGCTCCTGGGAACTGTGTTGGAGCCGAGCAAGCGCTAGCCAGGCGCAAGCGCGCACAGACTGTAGCCACCCGAGGACACCCCCGCCCCCCGGTCCACCCGGAGACACCCGCGCAGAATCGCCTCCGGATCCCCTGCAGTCGGCGGGAGGTAAGGAGCAGGGCTTCCAAACCGCCCGGCGCCCAGGGAGCGACGAGCGCCGGGGCAAGGCAAGCCCTGGACGGGATTGCGACGTGCGCACCGGGCGCCCGAATATGCCCGGGGGACTGTTTCTGCTTCCGAAACAAAACCATCTCTGGGTTTTCCCAGAAAAGCCAGTTCCAGCCCCGAAGCCATCCTGGCTAAAGGAGACCCGCCCTAATCCTTTTGCAGCCCTTACCGGGGGGAGTAATGGCTTCTGCGAAAAGAAATTCCCCCTGCTCTAGAAGATCTGTCTGTGTTTGAGCTGTCGGAGAGCCGGTGCGTCCCCACCCTAGGCTGGGGTTCTTCTCCAAAGGGTGCCCCTGGAGGAAGAAGACGGGGGGTTAGGCATGGCGAGGCCACCGCGGTCGTAATCTGGGTCACGGCTGCTCCAGCTCGGAGGAGAGGCGGCTCTCCCGGTGACCCTCCTCGCGCGGGCGCCCCTGCACCATTCCCGGGAACAGGGGCTCAACCTCCCCCTCCCTGGAAGAGGACGCTGTTGGGGGTTTGGAAGAGCAGGGATGGGCTTAGAGAGGTTCCAGATAAGCTATTGGTAGGAGTATCCCTGCAGCGGGTGAATGCCGAGGGCGTTTGCTCAAATTTGGGGAGGGGAAGGATTTGTGGATATGGGTGTCTGTTGTTGGTCTCTGTCTAGAGAAAGGCTTTTTCATTTGCAAAGTTTCCTAAATCCCCTGCTATCATTTGCACTCCCGAGGCTGCATTTTTACAAAGGGGGTAGAAGGTACTCCAAATACCATACCCGGTAGCTGGGTCGGAGAGCCCAGGGCTTCCCCAGAGCAGCCGGCCCCTCGCCGCTGCGAGTGGGGTTGTCTGCGTGCTCGTGAGAGCTAGAATTCTGCAGCCTGGAACAGCCCCCTCCCCCAGGCAGTGCCTTGTGTGAATGAAATGGCAGTTTCCAAAGTTGCGGAGCCACGCCACCACCCCCTGCATCTGCATGCCCCCTCCCACCCCCTGTCGTAGACAGCTTGTACACAAAAGGAGGGAGGGAGGGAGGGAGCGAGAGGCACAACTTCCTCCACCTTCGGGAGCCGTGGGCAGAGTGGGGGGCTTGGAGGGAAGATTGGGGAACCGGGTTAGAGGGGGCGCCCATTGCCTTTCCCCTCGGTCTGCTCCGTTTGCCCACCCTCTCCGGTGTGTCTGTCGGTTGCAGTGTTGGAGGTCGGCGCCGGCCCCCGCCTTCCGCGCCCCCCACGGGAAGGAAGCACCCCCGGTATTAAAACGAGCGGGGCGGAAAGAAGTCTTCAGTCGCCGGCCGGGAGGCGAGCCGATGCCGAGCTGCTCCGCGTCCACCATGCCGGGCATGATCTGCAAGAACCCAGACCTCGAGTTTGACTCGCTGCAGCCCTGCTTCTACCCGGACGAAGATGACTTCTACTTCGGCGGCCCCGACTCGACCCCCCCGGGGGAGGACATCTGGAAGAAGTTTGAGCTGCTGCCCACGCCCCCGCTGTCGCCCAGCCGTGGCTTCGCGGAGCACAGCTCCGAGCCCCCGAGCTGGGTCACGGAGATGCTGCTCGAGAACGAGCTGTGGGGCAGCCCGGCCGAGGAGGACGCGTTCGGCCTGGGTGGACTGGGTGGTCTCACCCCCAACCCGGTCATTCTCCAGGACTGCATGTGGAGCGGCTTCTCCGCCCGCGAGAAGCTGGAACGCGCCGTGAGCGAGAAGCTGCAGCACGGCCGCGGGCCGCCGACCGCCGGTTCCACCGCCCAGTCCCCGGGAGCCGGCGCCGCCAGCCCTGCGGGTCGCGGGCACGGCGGGGCTGCGGGAGCCGGCCGCGCCGGGGCCGCCCTGCCCGCCGAGCTCGCCCACCCGGCTGCCGAGTGCGTGGATCCTGCGGTGGTCTTCCCCTTTCCTGTGAACAAGCGCGAGCCAGCGCCCATGCCCGCAGCCCCGGCCGGTGCCCCGGTGGTGGGCCCTGCGGTCGCCTCGGGGGCGGGTGTCTCCGCCCCAGCCGGGGCCCCGGGGGTCGCCCCTCCGCGCCCAGGCGGCCGCCAAACCAGCGGCGGCGACCACAAGGCCCTCAGTACCTCTGGAGAGGACACCCTGAGCGATTCAGGTAAAGACCGAACTCGGGTCCGGCTGCCTCCCTGGGGCACTGGACCCCGGGTCGCGTCCCCTTTGTTAGTGCTCGTATGTCTTGCCCTAGGGAGCATTTTGGAGGCAGTGCTGGGGGCAGAGAGGTCCTGTTTCCTCCAAGTCTCTCCTCGGGGTAAAGAGAAGGGGCTGAGAGAAGGCCGCTGCAAAGGGTGCTCTCCAATTCTGGCCTTTACTAAAGTTCCTTCCACCTTCTCCTGAGGAGCCCTCCTCTAGGCCGTCACGGACCCTCACCCCGTTCCCCCCCCATCTTTTGTAGCGCAGCCCGAGGAATAAAATTGGAGAAAGTTGTGGCTAAACCGGGTGAGGGTTTAGGGGGTTGCTGGGTGCATTGCCTGGACAGAAACCTGTTAGCGCAGGGGTGAAAAGGACTCTGGCCCAGGTCAGGGGAGGGAAAGACATCCCGAAAAGATACAAGGGCTGTGCAAAGCCCTTTTTAAGGCGCAGGAACTTACAGGAGGGTTGCACAGATGGCTAGAGCCGGTTTTCTTTTTTTTTTTTCCAAATGTCGGTACCCTTCCCCCATCCTCGGTGGGTGGTGGGCTATTTGCTCCCGGTGCGTGGCCAGCAGGCGGCGATATGCGAGTCCAGCGGGCGGGCCCGGGATCTGAAAGGCTGGGGGTGGTGGGGGCACCCTCCCTCCCTCCATTCAGCAGCTGGCTGCAAGTGCAACAGCAGTTGTGTACATTCTTAAGGGGCCTCCTCTTTCCAATGTGCAGTGAAAACTGGCTCCAGTTTTGTCTTCCAGCCTGAATTCCAGGCCTAATTTGAGATGTGAGTTGTATCTGTAACCCAGTGCCCTTGAAGGTGAGGGCAGGCACTCAGCAGCCTCTCCAGGAATGCTTGCATCCTGGGAGGACTCACTGGTTAGTTCTATTGTGTGCATTTGTCTGTGCCTTAAGCTGAAGCGAAGGATTAAAACCAGGCCTTTCCCTGGGGGTCTGGATGAACAGAACTCAACCCAGAGAGTGGCATTGCCTTGTCCTTGGAGCAGGGAGCTGGGACCACCCCCCTCCTTGGACTTGGAAAACGACTGTTTTCAGAATGCAGGTGGAAACAATCCTAAATTTACTTCTGGGCTGAGGAGAGATCTTTGAGGCTCCTGGAAGGAAACTTGGTGATAAGCCTCCAGTTTGAAACGGCTCTGTCCCTTTAATGTCTGCGCCTTGACAGCTTTCGGTGAGGAAGCACTTCCGTCCAACAGCTGTCTTCTTGGCAGAAAACCAAAACATTGGCTTAAAGGGACCTACAGACTGGAACAGCCTCACATTTCGGCTTTAGAACAAATCCCACAATTGTTCAGCTTTCCGGTCCCCTTCAGATCAAGCAGAAGATGTGTTTTGATTTTCATGCTTGTATTTTAAACAATAATTTTCTAGCCCCGCGTGGTAGTCAATGAGGAGAGAGGGGAAGAATGCACACAGGATGCTACACGTTTTTGTTGTTGCTGTTGTTATTGGTGGCTTTGAGGAGGGCTGCTCCCATTTGGGGGTTTATACCAACTGTGGATTATGGCTTTGTAGTTAAGACTTGATCTTTGTTAAATGCAAAACTGCTTACTTGTATAAAACTCAGGTTTGTGGATGAAAAGTTGTTTTTCTTCTTCAGTTAATTAAATTGTTCCTCTAGTTTGTTTAAGGACTTAAAATCAAACACAACCATGTGTAAATTGCTAAATGAGGCTCCTAAAATGAGAGGCCTCAACTCTTTAAGTGTGGAGCTAGAAATGTAAATAAGTCCACCGGGCAGACTGGTGATTATGATAAAAGCTACCATTTACTGAGCATCTGTCTACTAGGCGCAGCTCTATGCCAAGTCTACGTTTGGTCTGTCAAAGTGGTATCCCCATTTAATAGCTGAGGAAACAGAGGCTTAGAAAGGCTGGGTAACTTGACCAGGGTCATGCAACTGGTCATGCAACTGGTCTGCGGTGGAGCCAGGATTCTGTCTGACCCTGAAGGCCAAGTTCTTTATATTTATTTCTACCACCTGCTAAAGTCTTGAATGAAGACTGAAAGCACAGTTGGGGAATGAGGAAGGAAAACATACTTATATATACACACGTACATGTATATGTATGAATGTATGTTTTTCTTGTTTTGTTTTTTTGATACGGAGTTTTGCTCTTGCTGCCCAGGCTGGAGTGCAGTGATGCGATCTGGGCTCACTGCAACGCCCGCCCCCCGGGTTCAAGTGATTCTCCTGCCTCAGCCTCCCGAGTTAGCTGGGATTACAGGAGCATGCCACCATGCCCAGCAAAGTTTTGTATTTTTAGTAGAGGCGGGGTTTCACCATGTTAGCCAGGATGGTCTCAATCTCCTCATCTCAGGTGATCCTCCCGCCTCTGCCTCCCAAAGTGCTGGGATTACAGGCGTGAGTCACCACGTCCGTCCTACAGATAATATTTATTTTAAAGAGATCTAAAACATACATAACTGTCCACATCTACATTGATGGACCCGTAAAAATAACACACTCTGTGCCAGGGTCTGCCGGAAGAGACAGATAACACATACATAATAACATGAATATATATGAGTTTCATTCAAATGGTTCTCACATGAGAGTAACTGGCATCTTGTTCTCAGATGATGAAGATGATGAAGAGGAAGATGAAGAGGAGGAAATTGACGTGGTCACTGTGGAGAAGCGGCGTTCCTCCTCCAACACCAAGGCTGTCACCACATTCACCATCACTGTGCGTCCCAAAAACGCAGCCCTGGGTCCCGGGAGGGCTCAGTCCAGCGAGCTGATCCTCAAACGATGCCTTCCCATCCACCAGCAGCACAACTATGCCGCCCCATCTCCCTACGTGGAGAGTGAGGATGCACCCCCCCAGAAGAAGATAAAGAATGAGGTGTCCCCACGTCCGCTCAAGAGTGTCATCCCCCCAAAGGCTAAGAGCTTGAGCCCCCGAAACTCTGACTCGGAGGACAGTGAGCGTCGCAGGAACCACAACATTCTGGAGCGCCAGCGCCGCAACGACCTTCGGTCCAGCTTTCTCACCCTCAGGGACCACGTGCCGGAGCTGGTCAAGAATGAGAAGGCCGCCAAGGTGGTCATTTTGAAAAAGGCCACCGAGTATGTCCACTCCCTCCAGGCCGAGGAGCACCAGCTTTTGCTGGAAAAGGAAAAATTGCAGGCAAGACAGCAGCAGTTGCTAAAGAAAATTGAACACGCTCGGACTTGCTAGACGCTTCTCAAAACTGGACAGTCACTGCCACTTTGCACATTTTGATTTTTTTTAAACAAACATTGTGTTGACATTAAGAATGTTGGTTTACTTTCAAATCGGTCCCCTGTCGAGTTCGGCTCTGGGTGGGGAGCAGGACCACCAGTGTGGGGTTCTGCTGGGACCTTGGAGAGCCTGCCTCCCAGGACGCTGGGTGGCCCTGCAGCCTCCTCCACCTCACCTCCATGACAGCGGTAAAAGTTGGTGACGTTTGGGAGCCTCTGGGGCTGTTGAAGTCACCTTGTGTGCTCCAAGTTTCTAAACAACAGAAAGTCATTCCTTCTTTTTTAAAATGGTGCTTAAGTTCCAGCAGATGCCACGTAAGGGGTTTGCCATTTGATACCCCTGGGGAACATTTCTGTAAATACCATTGACACATCCGCCTTTTGTATACGTCCTGGGTAATGAGAGGTGGCTTTTGCGGCCAGTATTAGACTGGAAGTTCATACCTAAGTACTGTAATAATACCTCAATGTTTGAGGAGCATG